GTTTCCTGCCTGGCCTTGCCCATGGCATTAGTTTATCATTACCGGGCGGAGCCCCCGAGCCAAACAGCAGCAACCAGCACGTTGCAAAAGTCTCAATAGTAAACTGTGCCGCCGAAACATAATTTCAGCCAATCAGCGCCGTCAAATATTTTGGTCACGAGGGCGCTCACGTTGGCGCTTACGTGCGTTGACGTGAGTTGTTTTTTAGACTCGTGAGTGACCAAGGTGACGTAGTATTTGGATGAGAATGGTGTGCAGGTGGAGTCGCCGGACCTCGGTCCGCACCCAATTCCGTGCAAGAGCTACTCTCCAATCCTTTCGAAAGGAGAAGTTTGGGAGATACATTGATAGCCTACTTAAAGACCTTGGACCGGACCAACCCGATTTGTATATATCACAGCAAGCTCGTGAAAAAGACAAAACGTATCAACGAGGCTAGCTGGATGCAAACGATGCAAACAGGTAAATGCTATCTTTTGTTTCCCATGCTTGCTCTTCAAACAGCCGGGGACAGATACGATCTGTTCAGAAACTAGACAAAAGTTACACAAGTACAAACCACAGACTGTCTGTGTCATGGAGAATACAGTCGTTGGTTTATTTATGTCTGTATAGGCCGTTGTTTTTCGCCTGCCGTCTATCTGCAGACTTGTCAAAGCATTAATTCATGGTTTTTACTAACCGGTATCAGTATGTTGTTACTTCGGCATCATTTTGAAACGTGTATTACAATTTAATCACCGTAAAATATATTCATTTTGTTGTAGTTGTAGCTCCCGAGCCAGCGCGTCTTGTTTGAATGATGCGAGTAAACACAGCTGGCAGCCGCGGTGAAACTCGAGCGACTAGAGCGATGCGATAGGAGCGTTTAGAGCGAAGCGAATATTCGCATCGCGTCCGGTCTGAACGCAGCATTAAAGCGAGCTCCGCGCTGCACTGGAAACGCGCCATTACATCACCAGAAGTCCTAATTTAAGGGGTCATTTCTCCCCAAAACAATTTTTTTACTCACTATATCAACAGCCCCACCAAAAATATTTTCCACCAGCCGCCACTGCATCCATCCATCTTCTCCCGCTTATCCGTGGTCGGGTCTCGGGGGTAGCAGTTCCAGCAGAGAGCCCCAAACTTTATTTTCCCCGGCGACATCAACCAGCTCTGACTGGGGGATCCCAAGGCGCTCCCAGGCCAGCGAAGAGATATAATCCCTCCACCTGGTCCTAGGTCTACCCCTTGGTCTCTTCCCAGCTGGACGTGCCTGGAACACCTCCCTAGGGAGGCGCCCAGGTGGCATAACTAGGTGCCCGAACCACCTCAACTGGCTCCTTTCGACGCGAAGGATGAGCGGTTCAACTCCGAGTCCCTCCCTGATGACCGAACTTCTCACCTTATCCCTAAGGGAGACACCAGCCACCCTCCGGAGAAAACCCATCTCGGCCGCTTGTATCCGCGATCTCGTTCTTTCGGTCATGACCCATCCTTCATGACCATAGGTGAGGGTAGGAACGAAAATGGCCCGGTAGACAGAGAGCTTTGCCTTCTGGCTCAGCTCTCTTTTCGTCACAACGGTGACGAAAAAAATCACTTGTATAATAATTAGTATTATATTTTGGTTCACATTAGAAATATTTTATATTTAATTTTTCACAATTTATAATTTTAGAAATATTTTTTACATTTTGAAAAAAACAGTTTTGAACATATTGTCCCAAAGATCTCCGCTATTCTGAGAACCTCAGAGTATTCCAGTCCCTTTTCAAAACTCATCTCTTCTCCTCTAGTCTACTCATAGCCCCCCCCTACCAATCCATGCCGGTTGATCAAGTTTGATAGTCCTATACCCCCCACCCTAACCTTCCCTTATATTGTTAAGCGATTTTGAGTCCTTGAAAAGCCCTATACAAATATAATGTATTATTATTATTATTATTATTATTATTATTATTATTATTATTATTATTATACTGACAGGTATCAGATCTTGCTGTGTAAAATAATCTTCCTGAGAGGTGTGTCTCAGAAAGTGATGTCGTCTGTGTGTTCTGCAGTGAATGTATTCCTGACAGCAACAGGTGATAGGAATCAAAGGTTCCCAAAGGTTCCCATAGAAAATGCCTGCGGGTCATTTTTGACCCACTTATGGAAGCTTGGGGTATTAATACAAAAACTACAATTTCTTAAAATGTAAATTTCAAATGTGAATGGCATGATATCCAAAACATGTTTTTTGAGGAATAGCTGGAATATAAAATGATAAATTGTTTTAATTACAAAGATACTTCAAGAAAACCACCTCACCGGGTCAAAAAAGACCCACTTATGACCGTTTTTAACTTTGCTATCTAATGTAGCTGCTTTCCTAAGCTGTACATCAAATGGATAAAGGAGAAATACATTATTTTGTTAGCAGATGCTAACTGTGAGGTATAGGGTGCTTTTATTGCAATTAACTGTAGGAAACCCCGCTATGCTATAAAACAAAGCTTTAATAGTTCTTGGTTATTGAAAAGTGTCAGTGTAAAGGATAGCTGCTCATGATGCTGATGTGAAGTTCTCTGCTGTAAAACGGCTGCCTGATGTGAGGACGTGGAGAATGTTCTGCAGCTGGCAGCTTGACTTATTACCTCTCCTCAGAGGAAGACAGGGCGTATTTAAGTGACACTGTGGTCTCTATTGGCGAAATGTAGTTCCCTCTTTAGAGAGAAAGCCAAGCAGAAAAAGGAACAGAGTGGAACCTTCAAACCTACATGAGTCCTCCTGATACTCCTCGTCAGCTGATCATTGAGCCAGTGAGAACTTGTCTCCACAACCTTCCCAGGTGTGCCTAAACCCAGCAAAGTGAAACCGTGTGAAATGTATTAGCGTCACCTACGGACATCTTGGGAGGAGGCTTGAAGTCAATTACGCCTTTTGTTCTTTATGTTGAGTGCTGTATTAAGTGCCTCTGTCAAGCGTGTCAAATTGAAACAGGAAATAGAAGCAGGGCTGGCGTTCTCCTCCGTTCACATTGACACATCTTTGTAGCCGCCCTGCTGCGCTCGCAGGCGTATGAAACTCCAAAAAGGAGCAGAATATGAATGTTCTGACAGACAATTGATAATGAGCAGCGGCTGAACAAAGCACTAATCACCAAGTGTTGTAAGATCCTCAGAAAAATGTCAGTCAGCTCAAGAACTGGGGTTGAAAGAAACAATATCAGAGAGAGAATGGGGCACATGTCGTGTACGTTTTAACATACATGTAGCTGTGTGAGTGTGGATCAGGTGGTGAGAGAATGAACCTGTCGCTGCTCCTGCTCCTCAACATCTGGGTTTCTACACCAACATAGATTCTCTTCTTTCCAGAACATTTCTTACTGCACTGCATCACATTATAAATTGACACGATATTTTGGATGTTAAACCAATTTTTTGACAACTAATCACTCAACCTATGCTATATACAGTAGCATAGATTAGGGATTGGTTACAGTTCAACTAATATATTCTAAGAAAGTATGTATGTATGTTCAAGAATTGTTACGTATACTAAAAAGATAGTATATTAAATGTTCACAGAACACAAGAATACAATTGTTGAATTATAACATTTCAACTGTTTAAGCTCTATGTAGGCTTACTATCCAAGAGATCCAAGTAATACTGTATAATACTAAATATAATATAATAAATAGGTAGATGACTTAGAGTTGTAATAGTTATCTTCACCATTCTCCTGCACCAGTGTGCACTGCAAAAAAGGAATTTTAAGAAAGTAAAAATAACTTGTTTTTGGGAAACAATTCTTATTTTTCGTCTTAAAACTCAAATGATCTTGTTAAGAATGTTTTGCTTAAGAAAAGTATTCTTACTTTGAGAAATATATATTTTATTGAGCTAGAATGAACCAGTAACAAGTTACAGCATTGGTTTGCATACATTCCCGGCATGGAACAGATTTATTTTTTCTTATTTTAAGAAATAAACCATCAAACAACTTGTCGAGAGACAACTGTGGTGTGGTATACACAACACACACACACACACACACACACACACACACACACACACACACACACACACACACACACACACACACACACACACACACCAAAAATACAAGTAGAAGTATTGCACGGCACTCATTGATCGAAATTGAAAACAGTTTAAAATGACCATGCAATGTTGTTAAATGTGTTCATGTTTGAATAAAAAAAAGTCTAAATATAAGAATGTTTCTGCTGTCTTAATTTAAGATAAATGCAATTATATAGAGGCGTGTGGCGCAGTGGACTAGTGCGTTGGTGTTGGGATCAGTGGGTCACAGGTTCAAACCCCACTGCAGTCAGCATGTCGTTGTGTCCCTGAGACACTTCACCCCAAAGTGCTCCTGTGGGGATTGCCCACAGTATTGAGTATGTGAGTCGCTTTGGATAAAAGCGTCTATCAAGTGACATGTAATGTAATATATTATGGCAATTAAAGAATTGAATTCTTATGAATGCTTTATATGCTGATTTTTAAACTTAATTTAAGATTTACATTCTAAGTTTAAGACAAAGTCACTAATATATTGTGTCAATTAAAGCCAATGATTCTTATTGTAAGCTTTCTTTGCTAATTATAAATCTTAATTTAAGAAATACATTCTGAGTCAACTCAACCAAAACACTAATTTTAAGTTATTCTTTCTTAAATAATTCAGGAATCATTGCTTGTAATCAGCTAAATGTGCTTACATTTTTCATTTGTGTCTAGTTTCAAGGCCCATCACGGTCTTTCAGTAGCTTCATTCTAGTTTTAAGAATTCTAGCCAAGCAAATTTGGCTCACCCCATTGGCCGATGTATTTGCTTGATACAGGAACATCTGACCTGATTCAAGAATATCTTGCTTGTTTTTGGAAGGGCTGTCTTTGCAGTGTGGCGATTTACCTTCTTGAGTCAGGACGATGGAGCTGTTGACTTCTCACATTTACATTGAATTTCTAACGTTCTTTCGCTTTGTGTGTGACCTTCTGTAGGGGACCTGGGATCAGACGATGATTACCTGGAAATCCCATCCATCTCCAGACAGAGGGCGGGGACGTATGAATGCACAGCCGTCAACGAAATCGACACGGACGTCCAGACTGTGGACATAACTGTCAACTGTAAGTCAGTGATTTCACCGAAGAAAATGTAACATGTTCTCTTTCAATGAACTGTGCTGAAATGATAAGTCGATTACCATTGAGTCATGAGATGATGGAAAAAATGACAACACATGTCATTACCATATAATAATTGTAACTATTTGTCAAGAACAAGTGACACATATTTAAAGTTCCCAGCTTCACACATTCTGTTCTCTGTCATCAACCGAGATGTTGGACTGAAACAAATAAAAGGTGATTTCAGGAGGCTGTTGGGACATACCAGTATCTACCATTTCAGAGTAATACATAACAATACAAAAATCAAGATGTGAATGAAACATGAAACAAATGTACTTAGTTACCCTGATAATAAGCAAAGTTTTAGTTTTGGACATTTACTTAAACTTAAAAGTCACCTGTTCAACTATTTCAACAGTATATTGTAGGTCTCAGATATACAAACATGTCTCTGAAGTGTTTGGCTGAAACACCAAACAGATCATTGCAGCATCCCATAATCCCTTCTGTTTCAGCCCTATTCCAAAAGTGCTGATTCTGTGTTTGTAGCTTTAAATGCTAATGAGCTGCTGCTGAGAAGATTGGTTAAAAAACACAATGGTGGAGATTCAGGTGATAAGGTGAGGGGGGGGTGTTGTTGTTGCTTGTAGATGTTCCAGCTGTGTCAGAGGGCAGAGACGTGGGGGTGACTCTGGGCCAGCGGGGGGTTCTGGAGTGTGAGGCGGACGCTGTGCCCGAGCCAGAGTTTGAGTGGTACAAAGAGGACAGAAGGTAACTATTTCCCACATTTTAAGCAGTCAAAGAATCGAGCACTGAAAAAAATGAAGCGTTGACTTTAATTCAATTTATTATGTCAACACATTTCACATAACTGTATGAGGTTAGTTGAAAGCAATAATATTAAGTTGAATTTAATATATTTTATTTAAACATATTATTATTGCTTTCAACTAACCTAATACGGTTATGTGAAATCTGTTGACATAATACATTCAATATGTGAAAATATCTCACTTTCATCTGGCAGAGAAACACAGGTGACATGTTGCATTGTCCCCGTCTTCCTCACATTCAGGATCTACACTGGCGTTGACGGCATGGAGATCTCCAACACTGGATCGTTGTCCAAGCTGACTTTTTTTAACGTGTCTGATGCAGATTACGGCAACTACACTTGTGTCGCCACCAACAAACTTGGGAGCTCAAACACCAGCTTCCTTATGTATGGTGAGTACAACAATCTAAAACAGGATGCTGCTACAGAAAGGTCAATATAACTAAAGAGCTGTCGTGTATTTTGCAATACAAGTAATAATGATAATTATAATAATATTCTGCAAAATACTCTCAATTTCGCTAACTTTTATCGGTGTTATTCAAACTTTATCCATTTGGTGAAAGTTATAGCTGTTTTTCAAACATAGAAATATCTCTTTTTATGACTCAATATCTTGATATAGTTGTGCATTCATGTTCAGGCGAACACAGCTTGTGCTGAGTTAATATACAAAGTTAAAACATAAGAAGTCACTATCTTTTTTCATGTGATTTGATTATTACACCTACAGTTAGTTTTGTGTATGCTTCTGTTCAGAACGAGCATTAGAGTCCCGTAAACTGACTTAGTGCTCTTACTTAAGAAAGAGAAAATGAATTCATCGTTTTAATATCACTTTAATTCCATTGAGGGTGAACTCAATTCAAATACTGTAGTGTTCCAGCATATGTAACAATGCAAGTGTTGTCAATGGTTTGTTGCTGTGCTGTTTCCCTGGTGTAGTGGTAATTGAACCCACTAGCTCAACGCTATTGCAAGGTTAGTATTCTGCTCCAGCATGCACTTCAACTGCTGTCGACAGAAAGTATTAACTGCATGCTGGCACATGACAAATAACCATTTTCACAAAGTAGAACGTGTGCTGCGGTGTCACTGCAGTTCTAAGCAGGGTGACAAGAAGAGACAAATCACGGCTGGGCTCTTTGATCCTGTCCAAACTCGACCTTCTTTGATATCGCGCCGGTCTCTTCTTGAATTGACACGTGAAAGCTTTGAAGAAGACTGGTCATGACAATCTTTGTGAAAATGGTCATGACAGCTTCTTTCACTAACCATGTTGTTGTATCTTCTCTCTTGCAACCCTAACTGCATCACTGTGACGTGGCTTTATTTTGATTTTTGCATGCTCCTTTTCCCAATGTAAGTATCTGTCATCTTTTATCATTATAATTTGTGCTTGTGTGATTGCTTGTACCTCTAGTTATTGCATATTAACTGTACATCTTACGCAACAGTGAGAGAGCTGCATTACCTCACTGGCAGCTGAAATGTTTCCAGTATCTCCGAGTAGAGATCACAGAGCAGATTACTGCTGTATGAGCCGGTGTGTTTCAAGAGCAGAGATAAACCCTCACACATCTTGTCCTTTAATGAGTGCTTGTAACTGGTGGTTGCAGCATCTTGTAAGCAAACCCACTCCATTACCACGATATAATTGTATTAATGGCTTTGATTTTGACTGCGAGTGAACGCCATTATTCTAATCAGCATATTCAGGATTAGGGATAATCCACTGTTGCAGGGTAATTGGATAGATGCCCCAAAGGAAGCTGTTGTGAACTCATGGAAATCCAAGGGAAATGAGAAGTCATTGTGTTACGAGCCTCAAAGTAGTTCCAATGTGTCCTCATACAATGCATTCACTTCAAAGGAACCTCCCTCATCAGTGAAAATGGCCTGATCAAAGTATTAAGTGTTTTCGTTTTTGCAACATACCATTGTGTTGTATCTTAGCTGTGCAAACAGTGTTACACTGGAATACTTAAGGTGCAGACATTTAAGTATTTCTCTAAGAATATGGTTGCATTTTACGAAACCTGAGGACAAACATGTGTCTGCTCCATGTTTTCTAGGGTACCAAGGTTGTAGCCTGATGTATCGTAGCAGATGATACAGTTTTAGGAGATATGAGAAATGTTTTCCACAGAATCACTTTTCTGGCTCCTTGTTCATAAAACACTTTCTGCAGCGATTCTCAATTGTTAATGGCAACATGCTGAACAGTATCCTCCCTTACAAGTTTAATGTCTCACTAGCACTCCACATAGTTTACACTATTTATGCAATATGTATTATTTTGTACTGAAGTAAGGCCTTACATTTAGACCAAACATTAAGACACCAAAGAAACATTAACATAGCTAAAAGTGTCCCGGTTGCACACCTGAAAATCGTAACATCATTTTAACAAAATGCTTTTGTTTTGAGGGCACTTCTCAGAACTAACAATGTTCTTGTAATAGATAGAAAAGCTCTTTTATGAAAGAGTAGCTGAGCATGTTGAACGTTATTCCTTCAAAGTGCATCTGATGCTGTTGGCCACGGCATTGTGATCGTCACACTGAGATAGATGATGCAACACTAACGTAGCTCACCTATTGTCTTGTTATTTTACACATGTGCTGTTTATTTATACTTTACAACAAATAGTGGTTTCTGCCTCTGGTGTCCTGCTGTAACCTGGGACTATCATCGAAAGAATGACACATGAGCATTCACAGCCTTGAGAAAACAATACTCACTCCAGGATGCTTGTTTTTAGCATACATGAAACAAATAAGAATACATCAGACTAGAAACTAGCATTGATTCACTCATATCTTCTGTATCTGAATTACAATCAGACACAGGCAGATTTAGCAGCATATGCTAAGTATTGCAAGATAATAACGTATGTTAGGGACACAGAATGAACACAAATGTAAAGTTGAATTACTGTTTTGTTAGTCGGCTGCTCTCTTCATCCAAACATTTGTAATGATTTGGATTCATTATGTTTTGTGGGAACACATACATGTTTCCACGAGTTTGCTCAGCTGACTGTTTCTTCTTGTGAAGGAAGTTGTCAGTTCCACATATGGGCATTAAAACGTCTGGATGTTTGATCCAGAGAGTGTGGTCGACATCAAGAGCCCCTCGAGTAGTTTGGATTAGGAAACACAAATGATAGTTTGGTTTAAATGTTGAAGTCAGATCAGCCGTCAAGACGCCATTGACTTTCTCAGTATTTAATGCAACAACATAAGTTGCTTTAGTTGCAATGAGCATATTAAGATATTTTAGGAACAAAAACATGATTTGCAAAACAGCCCTGTATACATCACAGTAATTCTCTTTAGGATCCTGAATTGCCATCAGCTGATTGGCTGTTCATTTCAAAACAAAGGGCCAGTAGTGATGACACACTGGAAAAAGACAATTCCACAGTGAAATGTATCTTCGTGTCCCTCTCTCCTGTCAGGACCGAGAGCAGTGCAGGACGGCAGCGGGGGTGCGGCAGGACTCCACCTACACACCTGCCTGCTGGGCCTGGTGTTCCTGCCCTTCCTGCTCAGATTTTGAAGAGGAATGGAATTGAACACAAGTATTTTGTTATGTGTGTGTGTGTTTTTCTTTCATTTTTCAAACGGAACCATGAACTGATGCACATGCAATATCCTGCTAATGTTGACCCAGTTACAAAAGTTTCAGTTTTTTTCAAGGATGTAACAAATGTTTGAGATTTTAATTGAACAGTGTTGGAAATGTTCTCTCTAAACTTTATTATTCTGGATTATTTTTACATATATGTTTTAATTGTGTTGTTTCTTGTTCAAATGGATTTGTCTTAATTTCAACTGCATTGCATATTCATCTTAACTCCAGGAAAAGGCACATTTACAGCAGGAATGAGAGGTGAATGTTAAATACCTCAAAGTCAAAGTGAGACAGTGAAGCAGAAGGAATCTAGGTTACCCTGAGCCGGAAAGCCTGCTATTCTTATATTTTAATGTATAATAATTAACATTCAGTCTGGTTGTTGAAACATAATTGTTTTTGACCTTCAAGTGTTTTTGTTCTCAGCATTATAGTGATATACTTGCAGTTGTGTTATTCTAATCATATAATTTAATTCAATGATGTTGAGTTTTAAATATTTTTGAGAAGGGAAAATATGAAGTTGTAATTATTTAGGAGAAATATCCTAGTTATATGTCTGTTTTCTTTTTCTTTTCCAGTACACAAATGGTGATGAATAATTATGTGATAATTATGTAGTTAAAAATGGAGAAAGATTTCACTCCACTTGTGTGGAGTCGACGTCTTATTTACATGATGCTAATGTATTAATGATGTTGCTACTTGTTTGAACATAATGTCATTTCCACACTACACAGTTATTTAAAAAGTTGTTCCTGTTTCTGATCCAAACCAGCACTGTAGGGTCTGTGAGATCATGTTATAGAAAATAAAACACTTTCTGCATGTATTTAGACACCAACAACCCAAAGACTTTAGCAGCACCATAATTCCTAGGAGTTACGTTTTATATTCACAACATCAAACAAAACACACAGACACGTATCCCATATTTGTCTTTTCACAAACAAGAGGGTAAACACGTTGTGATTTAATATAGTTTCAACATGGGGTCATTTTGGAAATCTTAATGATAGATACATATAAACCAAAATCTACAGCGTGTGGTTTATGATTGAAGCTTATTTGCATCTGCACCTGGCATTTCAAGTTCTTTTTAAGAAGAAAATAGAATAATTGCGGGCCTGCTGTGCCGTAGTGAGCCACTGTTATAACCAAGATTGATCTGAGTGAAAACTGTAACTGAGAAAACAGGATACAGTATGTGATAAAACGAGAAACATATCTCATATTATAATGTTTTATTATGGAGGGTCAGCAGACAGAGGACAGACCTCCTGAAACGTTTTTGTTGTGAGCATGAGGATTTTATGCAACAATCAAGAGCCTCTCACGACACAGCAGCAAGAAGTACAGCCAGTGATTTATCTCTTTTGTTTGCTAACAATACAACTGAGACGCACTCATGTTCCTCCCAGCAGCCTGACAGCAACATCAAAGCAAGCTTTTGGTGCAAGGCCACTGGTTTCTTGCAGCTGCCGTTTGTGCTTTCTGTAAGAGCTGCACTCCATGTCATTGAACCGGGTGCAGGAGTAAATGATTGGTAAGATTCCATTATCACAACATCCAACACGATGGCAAATGATGCGCTTATTAAGAATCCACAGCTCTCACTGAGTTTTTCACATTTCTTTTTTTTAAATCAATGCAAGACACTGAGCAGACTCAAAAGGAGGAGAGAGGGATTGAAACATTTCCCTTTCCCTCCGGTTTCCCCTGGATTCCCTCAGCTTTGCTTGTTTTGAAACAAAGCCAACATCCAAATGAAAAAGGCACGAAGCAGGGTCGTTACTGAATGTGACAGGTTCATCACGTTTGTTTCCACACGACAATAATAGGGAGACAGAAACAGTGCATACTATTGTCTCCAGCAGAGAGATGTTTGGAAATGATATGCTTCTCATTCCATCGGGGCTTCGCTGATGTCAGCTTTATTTCCCCCAATATTAACCACATTTGAGACACACTGCACCGAAAAGACTGAAAACATTGACAAATTACACATAACTGTATTAGGTTAGTTGAAAGCAATAATATGAAGTTGAACCTAACATTTTGTATTTAAACTTAATATTATTGCTTTTACACAACCCAATACAATGATGTGTCATTTGTTGACATAATGCATTTAATTAAAGTCGTGGTTTCAGTCTCTTCAGTGTGCGTCAGACCACCTCACAAGGACGTGTGTCGGGATGCCTTCAGAAACAGTTTGCATGGAATTCATGACTCACAGCATCATCACTTTTAATTCACGTTTAAAGTTGAAAAGGAGCCAAATGTGCTGAAAATATAATAATTTAACTAATTACTTAAAACAAAAACACACACACACACAATGACTCTTACTCCATCACACACCCATGCCACAGATTCTGGTGTCATGTTTATTTCAGCTTTCATTATTGTTTAGTACAGCCCAGCACACGTCTTAAAAACTGGTCCTTTTAATTTATGAACTACCTCTTAGCAGTTAAATAACAACACTGCAATTCACCTTAATGAGATGTGTGTGTGTGTGTGTGTGTGTGTGTGTGTGTGTGTGTGTGTGTGTGTGTGTGTGTGTGTGTGTGTGTGTGTGTGTGTGTGTGTGTGTGTGTGTGTGTGTGTGTGTGTGTGTGTGTGTGTGTGTGTGTGTGTGTGTGTGTGTGTGTGTGTGTGTGTGTGTGTGTGTGTGTGTGTGAGAGGACATGACACAGACACAATGTTTGCAGCTTATTGCTTTGTCCTAAATATGTGTGATATATATTTTACATGTCGTTTAAATTGCAGTAACATGTTTGGGTCAAGCACACTGTTTCTGAGGACAACCCGAAGTAAGAGAAACATTTAGAACATAAACAGATCTGTGCAAACTATCAGGGCTGCTGTCAAAGTATAACATGTTTCTCTAGAGGAGATGAATGTGCACCTAACCAGAAGTAAGCTGGTGTCTGTACGGCTGACTTCACCTTATAATCCACCTAATAATAGCAGAGCCATATGGTTTCTGTGGCAGTGATCCAGAGCCGAGGCTGTAATGAGCATCACTGACTGCAAACCAAAACTGTGCACATTAATATTCTGACTTCACACGATCATTAGAGGAACCCTGCTAATCCGTAATATCAAACAAGCATAATGTTTATTAGCTCGGATGAGATCTATAGTCACGGATAAAGTGTTGTACACTGTGAAGCAGTGAGCTGAAGAAGCAACATGGAGGCAGAGAGCAGGCTCTGTGATCCGAGGACGACATATCTTTCGCGTTTTCAGAGGAGATGGAAGAAAGTCAGCAGCTGTCAGATCACTGCTGGAAATCCTGTCAGATCATATTCCTAAAGTTTTGGCCTTGGTCTGAGCCACGTGCTGCTACCAGAAAAGTGTCATCTTTATTTGCCTGCTCTCAAATCCCTGCTGTTCCAAACGTGTAACAAGAGAAGGCATGTGGAGAAAACCTATGCAGGCGGCTCCTTTAAAGGCTTCATTTGGATCGTTTCTGACCTGAGGCGTTTGTTTTACTTAGCGCCAGTGTTGTTAACGCATTATACTGGTAGCCTCAAGGTTAGACAAGCTGGCTTGAAGAGCAGTTAAATAAACAATCACATTACATTTAATGAACAGACAGTGTGATGTTGTGTGCACAACTTGGCTATTTGTCATGTTATGGCTCATTTAGTTGTAAAAACTCTAATAAGCTCTCGGTTGGCCTTCAAATGGTCCTGTTGTTAACTGGGCTCATCCTCCAATGTAAAGTCCAAACTCTCAGAGTCATCAAATCCCTGTTCTGCTAACTACAACTTTCTTTAGTGTAATCAAAAGTCTTAAAGTCGCCGTGGATTGACTGACCGGCGACAGAGTCGGGGTTAGAAGATCACTCCCTGATGATACAGGCGGTCTCACCACCATGGTTTTTCTAATTTATTGTGCTCTATTTGGCCACCATAGCCCCAAATGACTCCCTGACAAGTCCATATATTAAGCCTGCAAATGATCTTGAAGGTGTTCTTGTGGATTTGTGATCACTGATCCAACGACCATTTACCTTGAACATCAGGATAAAGTCCTTTAGTGTGGGGATCATTTACCATCTCTCAGGCGAATGAGAGGCAGTTATACTGCAGTGGCATTCTGCATGACGAAAAATCCCCTAACTTCCACCAAGCATGACTTTAAAAAAAGGATAGACAAGACAGAATGCAAGTGTCATTTCAAGAGAGGATCTTGTAAGAACCCTAGTAATATTTCTGATCCACCTCTACAGATTAGCTATGGACTGAAAAGACCTGATTACACACACCTTTCACTTTTTCTGAATCCCATCAGGCAGCTCTTAATCACGTCCCATGAAGATGAAGGCTTATCATTTTGCAGTAGCACCAAACATATAAGGTGGTATGACCTATTTATGATGTCTGTTTGAAGTCTGCATAAGGTTTTGTAGGACTCTCCCTCTCAGCAAACGGACATGAACCCAATTGAGACAAGGAAGTTGGGTAAAAAAGCTGTTGGTATTATATTTTTCTTTGTCTCCATATGTGCAAAGCAAGACAATAGCTTGAAAAGCGGAACACTGAACAACACTTTATAACATTCAAGAGAAATAACAGCTTGTACTGCACTCACCAGATAAAAATAAGTCATTTTCATTTGAGATGTTTTGTGACATTTTTGTGATTTGCATTGGAGTCTAGAAGAGATTGTTTTTGGATGTGGACTTTGGTGAGACATGAGGGATCAAGGGATTGTCATAGCAGACGTATGAAGGAGTCTCATAATCTTCTGAATAATTCACAAAAATACAATTTTGCCCTTTGACTGGTTACAAGTTCACAGGGCTGTCCTCACATGTAATGTTCCGGAGTGGAGGAGGACCTCTTGCACTTTGACTTCCTGCATTGTAAAGGATTGTTGGTTCATATGTATTTTCTTGATGAAAAGTCTGTGCTCATATTTAAGACTGACAATAATAAAATGTTGTATCTTAAGATTTTGTGTTTTGCGTAAATGGGTGTTTTTTGTTTTTTTCTTGGTGAATATAGATGTATACAAATTATATATTTTACTCTACTGCAATGCCAACAGAGCTTTGTGAGGTTCACAAACAGCAGAGTTGCAAGCAGTGGCACATATCCAGAACCCAGATATTGATTTTTTTGATTCCCTCTGAAGTTGTGACCTTGGAGTGAGCTCATTGTGGTCTGTCCGCTACATCACCAACAACTGCTAACTGCACCTCTCTAAATGACACCAGTGTGTCTTTGAGACTGAACACAGTGTATTTGAAAGATTCCGGTACATTCATTATGTACGACTGCAGCGGGAGGTCTGCCATAACTCTCTGAATGTGTTTCTCCACTGCAACTGAATACAAAAGCAGTTAACTATTCTCATTTAATCACCCTAAAGATAGTAAATATAGTTACATTAATTTGGAGGTTTTAATCGTGTCAGTGTTCTTTTGACCTGCAGCAATGATTAACTGAGCAATACTACTGTAAAGCATGTCCATGTTGTGACAGTTTCTTTCTTTTTTTTAAACCTTTATTTAACCAGGTAGTCCTATTGAGGTCATCAATCTCTTTTTCAAGGGAGACAGTGGCCGTTTCTCAATCTCGAAGATACTGGCTTCCAAGCCAATATTTCAAGGATGCTACTTCATCGAGTGCCGCCGAAGGACTGTTCCAATCTCCAGCATACTTGGAATTCCACCGAGGCCGCGTCCTTGGTTTGGGGGAAATTTCGAGGCTGCACATGGGTAGACTTCGCGTCCTTAAAATCCCCACAATGCTTTGCGCACGGACCAATTTCAAAAACCCTTGCGGAGAATGGCTGAACCGACGCATCACACATTTAAATGTAAGTATGTAGTGGCGTAGAACATGTGTTGGTAAATATGTTACTTTGTTACATTTGTTATCACCAAAAATGTGTTCTGTGAAAGTAAAGCAAGTTCATAATTAGATAGACATCGTGAGGTATTTATTTTCGGTACAGTTTATGTTGAACCGTTAGAGAGAGTGGCACACTTGTTAGCCTGTTCCATTCTTCTTCGTTTTCCGAAGCCGTGGCTTGGAAGCATACTTGCTTCGTTTCTGAAGGAAGTGACTTGGAAGTACGCGACTACCAAGCCAGCATCCTCGAGATTGAGAAACGGCCAGTAACTCATGTGTGTGCTTTGTTTGCATGTCTTAATCACATGATGCCACTGCTCCACCGGAGCCCGGACAAGTGTTTAGTTTATGAGAACATATGCTCTTTGCACATTAAGCAGAACACAACCTGAACTTACCTTTTGAGTTTGCTAACATTAACTACAGTTTGATAAATATGCTATTGTCCTTAGCAAACTAAAGTTAACGCTAAAATATAAATGTACCTTAGGCTTTTGCAGTTTATTTGCTTTTGTTTCTAACATTACAATTACGCAGAGTGAATGCTGAGTTACAAATAAAAAAGATTGTCTGTTAAAGGTCAGTATCCCTTAAACTCAAACATATCACAGACAATGGACCATTTTAGGCCATTTGAAGCCATGCAATTACCTGCATTGTTGATTTTGTATTCTTCTATGCCATATTTTGTCATTGGAACTTAATGAAACATAGCATTGAAGGCAGACAGCTGAGCGCAAAAGGCTGAAACCACCATAACCTGCTGAGCACTGCAGCAAGCGATTGTTTACAATGCATAATCTGATATGACAGAGCATTGACCCTGTTTATTTGTTGAGATTAGATCATTTGAACACCTGTCAACAGATAAGTACCGCAAGACTCCTGGGACCATATTCATAAAACTACAAAGAGTAGCTCCTAAGAAAAGTCTTAGAGAAGGACTTTAATGAGGCGTAAGATTTGCTCATACAGGAGGAGAGTATGGCAAAAGACAAAAATAAGTAGGACAAATATTTCCTCTGAAAGACAGTGAGCTGCTGATGAAACACCACAGAAGATGGGAGAGACTAATGTTAAACGGTTGTGGTTGATTTCATTAGATGCACTCACAGCTCCCATCCAACGCTATATAAGCTTATAATGCCAGAAGTGAAAGTAATCACAGCACTGAGATGTCTGGCAGCAGTTTATCTGACTTTCTGGTGTTTATCTGCATGTTGATTGGCTACTTCACAAGCAGGCCCAAGTGTTCAAGCATTTCAGGCTAATCTTAATATGGTTTACATTAATTCAAAGATGTTCATTATATAAAGGATATTCACTCTCATTAGGGAATGAGTCCTAACCCCATGTGAAGGAGATCAAGTATCTCGGGTTCTCGAGTGAGGGGACGATGATTATTTTAGGCTAGGTTAGCAGCTCTCTGAGCATGTTCTCCGAATATCTCTGAGTAGGCTACTGCCCCTGTTCATCTGAGCGTTTCTCCAGGTGGACTCCAAGGACGGAAATGTTCCTGACATCACCTACAGAGAACTAACACGTCAGTATATACCTTACAGTGCCTCTCTGATAAATCAACATGCTAACATGCTTACAATGTTGCTAACAAGCCGATGTTTTGCAAGCATGATCACATTTGCGTGTTAAAGTTTTCTAATTACCAGTGAGCACTATTGGGAATTTTGTCTCAAGCTATTTTCATTCTTTTGTTAAATGTCACTTATTTTTCTTTTTTAATCAACCTCATACAAGTGGTGGTTGAATTAAAGTTATAATAATACAAAATTGAGTAAAATGTAATTTAAAATGTTAGTGATATTTTAGCCAATGCAAGTTTTGACATTTAGTGTTTTTAGTTATCACATTATATTGATCATGGATATAATCTAATCCAGCCAAAACCAATAATTATTTTCATTTTTGCATGAATTTAGCATTTCTATATGAACACCTCATTTATGAACAGCACATGTACTTCTGTATGACTCTAAGAGCTTGGAACCTTTGTTTGATCACACTCTTGTAGGGAAACAATACCTTAACAGGGAAAGAGCAGTCAATTGAACTCATGAACTCTTTTTAATCCACTCGTTTCAATTTTCATTCTCCTTAGGACATACACAGTAAGAAATTCAGAAATCTATACTTATAGCTATTTAAAGCTTAAGGGGACACAGCCAGGCAAGGATAGACCAGCCTATCCTCCTACACAAAATGACCAAATAGGTCGATTGTTTAAGCACCTTAGATTACGACCCATAGCCACGTTTTAAAGTGTAGCACCTCTAGTGGTCGTGTAAGAAACAACATGCTCCCGTTTATTCGTTTATTCACAAATAACCCTTGTAACTACTCTGGTCTTGAAATAACTTTACGCATCGAACTGATGTCCACAATCACGTTTATTCTCTTCTTTGTACAATTATGAAACACCGTGAAAACGTGTTCGCCTAGTAGACCAGCAGTAGAATTATGTTATTACATCGTTGACACTTTTAGCGCCCTTTTACTCTCTCACAAACACAACATCCGGGGCTAGAGGTCACATGACTTCCGGAAAGACAACTCTTATCATTTAAAAAAAACAACAAAAAAAACAAAGTTCAAGCATACATTAAACACTCTTCAAAAAAGACAAAACAATAATAAGGGACCTTTGAGCGTCAGCTACACTCCCACCAAAATGACCTTCATCACATAAATCAATGGTAATTTTCAACTCTTTTCGCTTGTTTGTCTTTCCCTTAACTCACATATGAACAGTGCAAGTTCACAATATCATTTACATATTTGAGCAAACCATTACATTTACATAACTAAGGCTACATCAACTTTATTAGTCCCTTAGCCTAACGAGGACATATATAGGTTTCTAGCAACTGCTTGCTTCCTAACTGCTCTCCATTAGAACAACTAACTTCTGAATAGGTCTTTCAACAACGGATGGCTTGTTGAGGCGTTCACCCTTTTCCCCCGACTGCTGCATCAGAGAAGTGATGAAGTCGACACTCAGTAGCTCACCAAAGTTTGTAGGTGTGAAGCATCTTGGGATCTGAATCTTCTTACGATTTTCCAGATCATTCATCCAACTCTCCCACCTTAGCTTCACCGCGCTTGGCAGTGGATCATCCTATCCGATTCCCTTCTTACACATCTCTCGCAGAACCCTCTTTCCTTCATGGATGAATGGAGCAAGAAGGCCATTTGCGAGATCCGGTCCTGGTTCTGGTTGTGTTTCTGCTTTCTCTGCGTCGCCATCTTTGAAGACGCCATCCATAAACTTCACATAGTCGGCCTTGAATTTCGGATCTCTTTCCAGTTTCCTTTTAGGGTGCGTTCACACCTGCCTTGTATAGTCCGGTTGAATCTAACCCTGGTGCGTTTAGCCGCTTGGTGCGGTTCATTTGGGTCGGTGTGAACACAATCCGAGACCTCTTAAGTGAACTAAACAACCGGACTCTGGTCCGCTAAAATAGGTGGTCTCGGAGCGCTTGCTTGCGAACTCTGGAGCGGTTCATTGCTGGTGGGAACGCAATCCGCACCAAAACATAGGAAGTGTAGTATTTACGTGTCACAAGAACGCGGATATCTTCAGAATCGTTAGCGAAAGAGTCTTTCAAGACATCCGCGGTTGTTTAGTTAAAGATTGAAGCAGAATGAAGCGTTGAACAGTGTAGTGTAAAGTACAAATGCTCCGTCAGCTACATAAAAGTAAGAACACCTGTCGTCGGTGAAACGCCCCTCCTTACTGCAGAACGTCTCTCATTATATGTAGTTATAATGTTTTTTAACGGACGTTGTCTGATTTATATAATCATATGCGCGGGCCGCTAGTGTCTGTTGATCTCCAGATTAACAGCAGCATGAGAATAACCTGCCGAAAGTGCCGATGCTCCATGGCGGAGGCTCCGGTAGAAATTGCCGGAATTCGCGTTTTTACCCCCTTAATGTCTGACCAATGGTTGAACAGCATTTCCGTGCACATGACTTGTGTTTAAAGTTTATAGTCCATTTGAGTTTTGCCCGTGTGAACGCAAACCGAACCTTCTGAAAAATGAAACAATGTAACAAACTGTGGTCTGGTGCACACC